CTAATGCCTGGAACCCGGAATCCCCAACGTAGAATTCGGAATCCAAGACTGTCTTGGATTACCTTCAAAGGGGGGTTCGGGACTTACAGTGGGCTTAAAGCTATTCACTGTCGAGTCAGCGTACTTTATTAAAGTTTCAGTTTGTTGAGAGGATAAAATACAGGGGCACCCAACGAGAATATAGTTCAAAACCACTTAACATAGCATTGTTGAACGTATTTTAGTATTCAAATGGTAGATATAGGCATATTTTTATCCCCTAAAATCTTTTCATCTGTTCGGATTTCCTAGCTGAAAGTCTAGTGATCCGAAAATTATAGGGATAAAAACTTACCTTCTCGAAAATTCCAGCCAGGAAAAGGTTCCCGAAAATTCTAGGTGGCCTTTTTTAGGGTCAAAATCCCGTTAAAAATGGGTAATTATACCATTTTGTAGATGTTCGAAACTCCTAGGAGAGGCAGGAAAGCAAGAAATTTTACAACAAATGCTCCGAAAATTCTAGATCTCAAATCGTCTTCCGAACAGATATTTTCCCGAAAATTGCCGTTGGGTGCCCCTGAAAATAGTCAAGATCGCTATATTATATCAATATATTATACATTTTCTTCGCCGTATTTCTTTTCAGTTGACTTCTCGTAAATGATCGTGAGCGGCCAATTGGCTAACAACAAAGAATGACTGCCTCTTTGGACGAATACCCACAGTTGATCGTGGAACTGGCTCGCCGCAGTACTCCAGTAAAGATAACAGAGGCAGTGATCCTCGTTTGTCTCATTCTTTTAGCCTTTGTAGGCAATGTTTTGGTCTGTGTCACGGTCTTCAAAAGCGCTCGTCTCCGCACGATTCCATACATGTTAATCACAAATTTAGCAGTGAGTGATATTCTCATGGCCATCGTCTGCATGCCTATTTCCTTAGATGTGCTTATTTCTGGCAAATGGCCGTTTAGCTCGTCAGTGTGTGATATGCATGGCTTCTTTATTTTTACTTTTGGCATTGTCTCGCAAGTCAATATGTCAGTCATTGCAGTAAACCGTTACTTTGCAGTGTGCCGTCCATTCGATTGTAAGGTCGTTTTTACCAAGAGAAATTCCCTGATCATAATCGCGATTCTTTGGATCTTACCAAGCATTGCCAGTGTCCCACCCCTGGTTGGCTGGGGGTATTACGCCTTCAACCCGGGCAAAGCATTCTGTATCTACCCATTCAACGTCAACATAATTTACACGATGATCATCCAACTTCTCTTTATCGCATTTCCAATGAAACTCATTGTGTTCAGCTACGCAAAGTGCATTCTTGCCATCAGATCCAGCAATCGACAAATCGAGGGAATGGTCGCTAACCCAAATTCGGTTGGACTAGAATCCAGGAAAGCGCGCGAAGTTCGCGCCACCTGGACAATGCTGTTTTCCACTCTGGGTTTCAGTATGTGTTGGCTACCAGTATCTGTCATTGACTTCATAGAAACGTCCAGAGGAGGCGGGAATTTACCACGCCAAGTGTTCATGCTGAATGGCTTCCTCATTTTCTTATCAAGCACGATCAATCCGTTCATCTATTGGCTGTCAAACCGTGATTTCCGCAAAGCATTCCGCCAAGTGATTCTTTGCCGAGCCAGAGGCAATGAAATATTGCCCGTGCGAGAGATGCCACAAAGCACTGCACAAAGCTCTACCATTCAGTCACAGAGCTAGATACACGTGAACAACCGCGCATAAACGGCACTTGAGTACTGTGTACATAGTAATTCACTGATAACTGAACTTGCTTGAGACAGTGCTTGAGATGTAGACACAATTTAAAATTGAGATTATAGTAGAAAACATTTTCAACCGCTCAAGATTACTACCACTTCCGCATTGCTTTCTCTGGTTTTATTTTTTTAATTTATTGTACTTCGTAGGAGATTTTTGCCTAGTTCCTTGGCCACATTGCTCCACGTTTCTTATGCTTCTCGGGTCACGTGATCCGAGCTAGTTTTTCTCGGAAATATCATCGAAATGCCAAATTGACCGAGAAGACCTGGGGAGACGCCGTATAGAGACCAGGCAAAGATAAACATTCATTGTGCAGAAATATGTAAATAGAAAAGTAAGCAAATTGCATTACTCTGTAAGTGTAAATACTATATATAGATTAATATAAATGGGGTGGTAGCTTTGACGGTTGACGGTAAAATTTTAGAGCTGCGCTTTTGACGGTTGACGGTTATTAAGCAGTAATTTAGTCCGGTAGTTTAAGGCCCCTTCTACACGTATCCGGATATTTTTGAATCAGCAACTTTTTGAGTCCGCTCTCCATAGTGGACATTTTTGAATACGCTATGAATCCGGAACGTGTGGACGCTAAATCCGAAATTTTTTTATCCGATGATGCGACAAGATGGAGCCCTGGCCCGTGTTAATGTTGTTCAAACGTTGGATAGCGCTATCGACCGGATAAAAATCTATCCAGTGGATAACGCAATGGTTTCCCTAATACTTATCCGCTGGATAGTGATTTATCCGGTGGATAGCGCTATCCAACGTTTGAACAACCAGGGCCAGTTCTTTACCGTGAATGCTGTATTCAGATGGCAACTTCGTCCCAGGTTCTCTCTCTTACCCGTCGTGGAGTCAACCGTGCTCTTTGCATTTTTCTTTGATTTCTAGGCTGATTCCGTCATAATTCTAGATGCAAATTTCGCACGCTTTACGACGGATGCTCAGTAGGGTCTGTTGGATTATGCTTGTATAATTATATAGAGTATTATGCTTTCGGGCGTCACCTGTCATACCAAAAGAAAGCACAAGGACCTTTGTAAATATACAACTGCTATAATATATAAGAATTATGGATAGAACCTCAATTGTCTTCATGTTGTTACTGACTTCGTCAATCCCGTAATCCTGACCCAAAACTTCGTGCAATCCCGTAATCCCGAGAATTATTTTTGGCATCCCACCTCTCGCGCATACTTTCACTGATTGATTGAATCCCGAAGCTCGCCCCGATTTTTCTTTAAAATCTCGAATTCCGAGCTTTCCGAGGGAAACCCCGTATCCCGAAAAGCCTAACGGGGACCCTCTGCTACAGCAGCGGAGAAACTTACAATTGTAGCAAAAGCACTAAGGAGTGAAAAATTTAATAAGCGCCGTGTTGCTTTTTCGAGTAAATACGGTAAGGTACTACCTGTTACAGGAGGCCAGGGAGGCACCAAAAACAAAGTACAACACTGCAGATGTTGACTATAACTTGAACGATGAAGATGTGTTTGAGCTGGGGAATTGAGGTTGTTACCAAAACCATTGTATTTCTCGCTCGATGTAAGGGAATCCAAGGCAGCCGGATTCCACGTGGTGGATTACGGATTTCAGGTAGTTTGTAGAAACTGGATTCCGGATTCCAATCTGAGAGGGATTCCGGAATCTTTGAGCTTTATTTCGGATTCCACAAGCAAAATTCTTTTTGGATTCTGGAATCTGGATTCTCTTACATGGGGCGATTGCGGTCAAACGAAAACGAAACTTTTCCCAGTATGAACTTTTTTCATTTGAAAGTCTAGCGGCTTAAAACAATAGCCTGAAAAATCAGCCAACATTTCCCTACGCCAGCACTGGTTTCCCCGCGAAATGACGTCTGAGAAACGATTGCAGAAATTCCGTACTGATGACGCGTTATTACCCAGGGCCGGGTTGTTCAAAGCTGGCTTTAGATAACCCAGGGTTAGTGCAAAACTTGAATTCAAATATGAAAGCTTAAAAAGTAAATTCAGTTTAATTATTTTTGTCAACAAGTTGATGATTCGATGCTCTATGAATATCAGAGAAAATTGCCCGAGAAAATGCTTTTGAACAAAAGAAAAAGAAACCCGGGCTAAATTTAACCCTGGGTTAAGCGCTAATCGGCCTTCGAACAACTGGGCCCAGAACTGGATAGTGCTTCTGCCAGCGACTTGTCGGGACACGTGGGATCTTTGCTTCAGCCAATCAAAAGCACGACCCAGATCTGGGTAATGACGCGTCATCAGTATGGAATTTCTGCGCTCGCTTGACCTCAGACGTCATTTCGCTGGGAAACCAGTGGTGGCGTCGGAAAATGTCGGCTGTTTTCTCAGGCTCTTAAAACAGCCATTGCCAGGGTTATGGTCTCCTGTCATTACTTTTTTGTTGATATTCGTCAGTACTTTATCACGCGCGATATTACGCGTTTATAGTTCGAATTTAAAGCGCGCACGTGTACCGCATGTATTGGGATTTACAAGGACTCTAACATCGTCATGGTCACTCACCTAATATAGCCTGCTTAGCCTTCCTTATTTGCCTTATTCAACATGTCCAAAGCTGTCAGTTTCAGCCCCCGGTTATGGCTCACTCATTTTTGTCGATTTTCTTTTGTTTGAGTATTGTATACTACAGAATAAGTGAACAGTAATCAAAGGAAAAACTCGGAATAGATGAAATTGCGTGAAAAGTACTGTAATCGGCTGAAGGGAAGACACAAGGCGGCTATTAAAATAAGACTGAATTCAGGCCGGGGCGTAAACAGGCTAATTATCTCAGTACATGAGCTGCACGTGAGCTAAAAGTTCGAACAAATTGTCCAAACTGTGCTTGATAAAAAAGCCGGGTAATTATTACAGCTGAACAGGCTATACTTCATAGTGAAGAAAGTTCTGTTTTTATTTGTCCGAACTTTATTCATAACACGCTTGGGCTGCCTGTGGTTACAACTAATGCGTTCTTATTTGTCGTAGGACCATTTAAACTTGGCCTGTTCTAGGCGTTCAGATTGTGGAGGAGGTGCACCCCATTATGTGAATGCCTGGAAGAGGCTTGGAATGACTGAGAGTGAGCTTGGAAATCAGTTTTAAAGTGTTTTAGGGCAAAGTCCCTTGTCCGAAACCACATGTTCCCACTTTTACGACTTCGTCATATGACAACCGCGCGACATTTTAGTGTAAACCAATCTTTCAAAAACGCGAGAAGCCCTTTCAACCTCCCACTTTCACTTTGGACATGGCTTCAAACACGTTGGAGTTAAGGGGTGTCGTTTTTATCTTAACTTTATTATCAATTCTTCACTTTGGAAGGTCTCAAGAGGGCTGTAGTCAAATAGCAGACGCCTATCGATTTGATTGCTACCCCGAAGATGGCGCATCCGAACAAAACTGCTTGAATCGAGGCTGTTGTTGGAGGCCACCATCAGCGGAAGTTGATGGAAAAGTCCCGTTGAATATTCCATACTGTTTTTATCCCACCAACTACGGTTACAAACTTGTCAGCAAAGAGAAAACTCAGACGGGATATTTACTTAGGCTAGTTAAGCAAGGACACCCGGGACCATACGGCAAGGATATTGAAAATTTGACTGTGGATGTTCGCTTTGAGACTCGAGAACGGCTTCATTTCAAGGTAAGCTGAAAAAAAAAGGGTTCGAACCTTGGTTAAGTTGTTTACCGGCTTAGTGTGGTTTTTCGATCCTTATTTTATTTGGGGTCATCTTTGCTTTCTGTCGATACCAACCGCAATAGACGTTAACCGAGTCACGTAAAAATGCAATTTTTTTTAAGGCTAAGCTAATTGATTAAAACAACGATATTTATTCACAGGTCGATTCATCACACTGAATTTAGAAAATCTGCAAAGTTCTGTTTGCCCTAATTTCCCAGAAATCTGAGGGCCAAAATTTATTTCTTTTGGGGAGGGTGGGGGGCTGGGAAGGGGCATATGCTTGCGTTAGACGTCTTTAGTTTTTGTTTTCCGGATGAAGGTCACGTGAGGAATTTGCCTCTCTGCCTTTTTCATAAATCATGCGTACCTATGCAGGGGAATAAGACGAAATTTCAATGAAATGTGCTTGTTCAGTCCACTAGGGTATTATCACATGACCTACATGGGAAAACAAAACAGCTGAAGAGGTTTATTGACCCCCTGAACCATGACTCATGATCATTTTCTGAAAAAAAAAAGGGTCAGCAAACAAGTTGACAAACAAGAAATTAAAGAAAAGCGTGGAGAGTTCAAGCCTCTTCTTTTGGGTATCCTGTGTATCACTGGGTATCCTGTGCATGCTGCTTAAAAGTGTATTGACCATTTTGTCATTGCATGTTCTCCTTGAACTGCATATGGATACCAGTATACCCAGTTAGGGGGGTGGGGAGACTGCCCCCAGGTCCAACCCTTACCCTTTTACATACTGGTTTTGAAAGAAAAGGTACCCCCTTCATTTACTTTCTATTGGCAAATGGTACCCCTTTCACATACCTAGTTTAGAACTTTTAGATGTTTTGGAACTGCTGTAAAGGCACTGTCTTTAAAATATGAATAAATCACAAAACCAGAATGATTCCTCAACTTTTTCACAGCCATAAAATGAATCTATGAGCCCTTTTGGGCCTTTTTACAAACTAAAATGACAGATTTCCCTACCCTATTATATACCTCAACAGGTGAAATCCTTACCCTTTTGTATACCTGAGGTCTGAGAAGGTACCCCTTTTGGGCTGAGCCTCCATGTATGGGCCATTATCAGGAGTACCCCCTTGGGCCAAACTTCTTTAGGTGTGCTGTATGGTTCATTCATAATTGAGATTAAGGCTAATATGGAGACCAGATGTCATTATTACACTCTTCAAGAATAAAGTGCACAGAATACATGCGAAAAAACATGAAATACCAAGAATATGTATTCTCAAGTCTATCCATCCCCTTACATTCTAAAAGCCAAAGAATCTCCTTTTTTAAGCCTCTTCGCATGGCTGAACTTAACTCACCTCTTAGTGTATTCATGCATATGTATGACAGGAAGTCAGACATGAGTTTTTACTTATTAGATTTCTATGAACCATATAAAGTACCAATTATTACAAAGAGTGCTTCTTGGTGTTGTGGATTTGTTAGTGCTAGTGCTGTTTACTAATATATGTATTACTACATTCAATTCTCAGATCTATGATCCTAATAGTAAAAGATATGAAGTCCCCATTCAGACCCCAACAGTAAGCACCCAGGCAACAGAACTTGATTATGATGTAAATGTCAATACTTTCCCATTTGGCATTTCTGTGAAAAGAAAATCAACAAATACTGTCATGTGAGTAAATTTTTTTACTATTTCTTTTTCATGCCTTAAAATAATGTGGTTCTTATTTGAGGACGGTACTTTTTTGAGTGTGGTATTTATTTGAAAGTTGGATGCGACAAAAATAATTATTGTTTAACCATTGTATTATTATTTTCCATATTCAACTAAAACTTCCCAGTATTAACGTTTTTTGATTTTGATCATCTTAATTGAGACCACAGTGTCTATTCAGGAGCGACACTTCAGTATTAATTTTTTTGTTCCAAATGCACTGCTTATTCAAGGGTGGCACTTAATCAGTGTTGTGGTGTTCTGTTACAATTCTCCCCATTATCTTACTAACAAGAAAAAAGAACTTCCAAACAACAGGGTCCTACTGAAGGCAGGTGGTGAGGGGTGGCGGTTGGTGTTGTACGAATTTGATTTTCCCAGCCAAAATTTTTCCAGATACCAGTGTCAACAAGTCATGTATTTGCCTCAAATACTTCTCCACTAGAGCACTCATGTACTTGTCGCAAAGTTGCATTAATGATTATAAACAACACATTAATTACAGTGTCTTTTTTAAAGTTCCTGACACTGTTTTTACAGAGCTATTAATTAATACAGGTATATCATGAAAAATGGTTAACTGGCAGACAACTATAGACAGAAAATATTGGTGGACTGACAGTCACCTTACAGAAAAAAAAAAAAAAAAAACTGGTAGTCTACTCAGTGTTAGCCCCATACAGTAGTACACTGTAGTTAATTGGCAGTGGTCAGTTGCCAGTTTGGTCATCATGATGGCTAGTGCAGCTAAGCCAGTCATATGAAACAGATAGTTGAAATGAAACCTCACAAAGAATCCTGACTGACAGGTTAGGTTGAGGCAAATTAGTAGGTTGCTTATAAAGATAGCTGCCCTCAGCACTGCTGAAAAATCTAGTCCCACCAGTGTTATAAGGGCGTGTTTGTTGATCCTGGGTCCACTTTGACTCTTGGCCATGCCGCATCTGCTCGCTGACAGTTAGATCCTAATAACATGGTACATTTTGCCCTTATTACATAATTTTTATTTCTACATTTTGCTGTTTTAGCTTTAATAGTATCGTAGGAGGAATGGTTTTTGAAGATCAGTTTATTCAGCTATCATCACTGTTGCCATCAGGGACATTGTATGGCCTAGGTGAACATGTCGATCCTTTACTTCTTGATGTAAAATGGACAAGAGGAACATTGTTTGCCAGAGACCAGGGAACCCCAGAGGTATTTTTTTGACAATGTCTTGTGTATTGCACATACCACAGGAAAAAATAACGGATTCCCATTTTTGGATATTTTAGGGTATTTAACGAATGCCCATAAAAATCCCAAATTTGGCAAATTAAAGTGAGACAAGTCCCAACAAGGGAATTCCCAACCAAGTTCCCTGATTGGGACTTGTCTCACTCTTCCAAATTTGGGATTTTTGTGGGTATTCTTTAAATACCCTAAAATATCCAAAAATGGGAATCCGTTATTTTTTCCTGTGTACTCAAGGTATCGTAATTTGTTCCTTAATTTTCCTAGAAGATGTTTTAAAAGAAGAAGGAGATTGTGATGAGGAAGGGGAGGGCATTGGTTGCTATTGAGCTCCTATCCTTATTTGTAGTCCACTAGCTCAGTATTGCTTTTATCCGTACATGTTATAACATTCTGTGTTTTATAATTTGCAAAATCAATACAGTCTAACCTCTCCTTACAGACACCTCTATAATACGGACACCTTTCTATTATGGACAGTTCGTTTTGTCCCAGAAATGCTCAAAATGATACATTCCCTGCCTCTATAATGAGGACACCTCTGTAAAGCGGACAATAATTGTCCAGTTATTGTTTCTGTCCCTTTGGTGTCCGTATTAAGGAGGTTTGACTGTAGTTACTAGGTGGCTTGTGATTCAAGATTGAATATCTTGTTGAATTATGTCTAATTTTTATTCCATGAGGGTGCGTTGGATATGAGATGTGTTATGCCGAGTTGGCTATAATCATCTCATATCCAACAAGCGTAAGTGGAATAATTGACTTTTGTTAAAATTGCCCACAAAATAATGAAAATTCTTCGCGACTTTATTTGTAAAAACAACCGATTTGCAGCTTGTTTATTTAAGCAGACGCGTGCAGTTACCATATTTGGAGAGGATGGTGTACGGTAATGGCTCATATACCATGATGGCTAAGCCAATCAGAGCTCTAGAATTTTATTATCTAATTATTCAGTTTTTAATAATATCAATTATCTCAGTTGAAACTGATGCATGGTGTTGTGCACCAGTCATTTATGTTGAAGATTGTTTTATTTTCTTACTTTATTCCAACCTAAAGGAGATTAACTACATCTCACATTCCAGCATTAGAGCCAGTGTTGAAACTAGCTCTCCCAAGCTGCACAATTTACTCCAATTCTCTCGCCCCTTCCATCCTTGACATTTTATGGACCTCCCCTGAGCTTTGCGAGTGTCTGCAGTACACATATTTCTAGTTATTTGTAAATTAGGTCTTAAGAAGCTAGTTGGAATGATGTAACTGAGTTACCTGTAGTTATTGAATCAGTCTTGAGTTTGATACGAAGAATTATGCAGATTGAGGAGGGTGTTATTCCCTGAGAATCTCCTGTCCTCTCTCCCTGGCACCCAAAGACTTAAAGGGCATTAAACTTAGAGCAAGGGGCACACACATACACCAACCCACATTCTGGCCAGTACTTCATGCATGCGACAGCTATATCACACGGGCAGTGGCAGGCATGGTCATGAGTTGGTTAATGTGTGCCCCTAATGTTTTAAGTTTGTCTTACATTGAATTTACTGGCACACAGATCATGGTAACTCCTGATCCGCCTTCCCCAGCACGCATGTCGTGGGAGAACTGCTGTGCAGTTCCCAGCCAACTCAGCTCCCATATGTGTTATGTGGAGCTGGTGCTTAAAGGAGTGCTTTGCACTTGCCTGACACCATGACACCAGTAAAGAGCCTCTGAAGACACTGACTTTGTCCATACAGAGGTCTGACGGCTATGCCATGCTGATGAGCCCCAATAAGGGCAAAACAGCTGTCCATTGCTGCCACTGCATGGGTGATATTGCTGTGCATATGTCGGTTAGGTGGTGGCCAGGCTGTGGGTTGGTGTATGTGTGCCCCCTGCTTTAAGTTTATCTTACCCAAAAGGCTGTCTGCTTTGGACAATGGGTACCAATTCAAAGCAGTTTGCTAAATGTAGTTCATTTTACTCGGCCTCTTTGAACCCTATCCCAGGTCAACCTATACCGATATGGTAAATTTAGTAAAATCCAACTAGTGATCTATTGAGGAGGGTGTTATTCCCTGAGAACCTCCTGTCCTCTCTCCCTGGCACCCAAAGACTTAAAGGGCATTAAACTTAGAGAAAGGGGCACACACATACACCAACCCACATTCTGGCCAGTACCTCATGCATGTGACAGCTATATCACACGGGCAGTGGCAGGCATGGTCATGGGTTGGTTAATGTGTGCCCCTAATGTTTTAAGTTTGTCTTATATTGAATTTAGTGGCACACAGATCATGGTAACTCCTGATCCACCTTCCTCAGCACGCATGTCGTGGGAGAACTGCTGTGCAGTTCCCAGCCAACTCAGCTCCCATATGTGTTATGTGGAGCTGGTGCTTAAAGGAGTTCTCTTGCACTTGCCTGACACCATGACACCAGTAAAGAGCCTCTGAAGACACTGACTTTGTCCATACAGAGGTCTGACGGCTATGCCGTGCTGATGAGCCCCAATAAGGGCAAAACAGCTGTCCATTGCTGCCACTGCGTGGGTGATATTGCTGTGCACATGTCAGTTAGGTGGTGGCCAGGCTGTGGGTTGGTGTATGCGTGCCCCCTGCTTTAAGTTTATCTTACCCAAAAGGCTGTCTGCTTTGGACAATGGGTACCAATTCAAAGCAGTTTGCTAAATGCAGTTCATTTTACTCGGCCTCTTTGAACCCTATCCCAGGTCAACCTATACCGATATGGCAAATTTAGTAAAATCCAACTAGTGATCTATTATCAATGCAGCATTCTGATTGGTTGAGCTACTACTAGGATATATGTTATAGCCCACTAGTAGCGAAAAGTGCCGGCTTTTTGGTGGCAAAAGTCTAGCTAAAGTATAGCTAAAACTTTTTATTCTCGATATTTTTGACCAACTAGTTGGATTTTACTAAAACAATTATTCCTCTCGCCCTCATGGCCTCTGATTCAAAAGCCCATGAGGCCAACTATTGACTCAAAGCCCATTCAGGCTCAAGGAATAATTGTTAAATATCTGCATGACCATTTCAGTAATAGTGATTGACAAGTTTGCCCCTGGTTAACTCTGTTATTGAATTTATTTCTATCTGAAAATATAGAAAAATTCATGTAGATTTTCACTTTGTTTTCACTTTAATGTTTGTTTTCAACTTTTTACTTTCTATTTATAGGGTCTTTCCAATTTGTATGGCGTTTTTCCATATTACATCTCGATTGAAAAAGATGGAAATGCAAATGGAGTATTTCTTTTGAACAGCAATGCCATGGGTATGCCTAGAAATTACTATGTCATTCAGTACAATGCATTATTATATGTCTCTAGTATTACCAAGCCAGTCAATAATACTTTTTGCAGCTTTGTCTAGCTTGTACATAATCCACTTTTCGCCTCCATTACTTGATTCAGTGAATAAATTAACAATTATTCGACGATGGTGAGCAAAATATCCTGATTTGTCAGTGGTGAGTCGAGATCAGTTATTTACCTCAGCCGAAAGACAAATAATTGATCCGCTCACCACTGACAAATCATGATCTTTTGCGATAACCAAGTTCAATAATAATATTGTTTTATCATTCGGTCACCGAGTCTGTTTTTCAATGAACATCTTCGGGAAGCTGCCATTTTCACGCAAGAGCGGTCTTGGGCGGCATTGCGCATGAGCAGACCATTATTTGTAGGCAGTTATTTGCAGGTCACGTGGTGGGCTTTCGGCCAATGACTCTGAGAATTCTCGATGTGACCAGATTCCTTTGCTTTACCCCGTACGTTTAGGGAACTTACCACGAACAGTGTTAACATAATTATTGGATTAAGCTTAAATTTGTTAAGTTTGTCTCAAAAAATTTTTGCTTCTTCTTGTCGTAGTTCGCGTTAGTTAGCTTCATTTTGAAATGTTACTTTCTCTTTCGCGGCGTTAATTTCCTTCCTTTGTTTGAAAGTATTTTTTTCCTGCAATTGCGTTAATTGAAGTCATATTTCAAACACCGTAATTAACACAAGAGTTTATTTTCTCTAATTATTTAAGGTGGCCGAATTCCTGAAACTAAAATGATAGCCAAAATACTTGTCAACTGGTTTTTGAAGAATTTCCACAAAGAATGAAAACCTTTAAACTGCTGGGGGACTGGCATTGGTATTTTTAAGAGATTCTATGTGAAGTTGATGAGGCTAAGAAAGAAAAGAACTCGGCTTTCGTATCTTATGAAGAATTATGCAGATCGAGGAGAGTTTTATCCACCTAGGTCGAACTTTCTCCTCGGTCTGCGTTATTCTTCATTTTATACTCAACCTCATTCAATAATTGTTTTAAAACAAATGCTGGATTTATATAATCATGACATACTAACGGCTCCATCCATCTCTTAGATATTATTCTTCAACCAACTCCTGCCATAACCTACAGGACGATTGGAGGAATCTTGGACTTCTACGTCTTTCTTGGTCCCAGCCCTGATTTAGTTGTCCAGCAATTTACAGCAGTAAGTTTTACTCAAGTCATACTAATAGTATACTTTATTGTTCTATCATCTGGAGACACGTTTAGTAGTCAGAGCATTTTGGTATCAACACCACCATCTTCGACTGAACGTGGAAATATAAAATTGAACCGCAACATATCTTCAACTTGAATTACTATCGTGACGTAGAAAAAAACGTTCCAATCTCGTACAAAACAAAGCATTCAGAAAGTTAGTATCTATGTTTAGAGAAACTTCAAGAAGGCAAGTAATGCTTTAGAAACACTTTGTTATATACTAAAATCGCGAACCTATCAGTTTCGTCAAAATATCGGGGAACCATGATTCTGTGTGGTCCATAGTCAGTCACATAGTTTACATTAGTTCGAAATACCAGCCAGGGGCACAAACGTACTGGAAAACGACAAGAATTGAGATGAGATTGATTTGCTACCATCTTACAGCGTAACGTTGTAGATGTTATGAGATGACGTACTGGTTCTACGCGGTGAAAATAATGCTACAACCGGCATCAGTTAAAAAAGAGAGTCGCTGCGTTCTTGATGTTAAAACTTAGGACATTTGAGTACTTCTAACCTTAAAACTTTTTAAAAAGTTAGGAACTCAGAATAGTGAATTCCCAAGTCACGCCTTAGTGATAACTATGAGCTAATACTACTTCATCCACTGTCAGCAGAGCCGTTCTTTCGCTTGCTTGATTTTGGCGTACTCGAGAAAGACTCTGCAGTACGATCTTTGTTGAGCATGCGCGGCATGTTGCTAGGATATAGTTTAAAACCCAGGGTTAATATCCATGCGCTTGCTACAGTGGGTTACGACCGTCGGTTTAGATCAATAAACGAATGCTCGCACTCGAAAAGCCCGTTTGACGAGAACAAGATTGGCTAGTTCTGAAGCTTGGGCTGCGATGACCTCGAAGGTTTGCATGGACGTGATTGGGGCAGTCTCCTTTTCTCGAGCTCTGCTCGTGACTACTTCAACTTACGTTGAACGTTTCTGACGTGCAATTGTGTCAAAAGTACTTCATAATTTTTGAGTCTTGTAATTGTTGTTTTGTATTATGCAATAATATTTGACATAGTTACACTGTAAGCGTTCCACTTTATTCTTGCCTCCAATCGTGGTTCACGTTTATAGACAAATTGAGCTTTAACATCAATCTTTAATTCTTCAGGTAGTTGGCCGCCCATATATGCCCCCGTACTGGGGTCTGGGATTCCACCTTTGCCGCTGGGGATATGGAAGTTTAAATGGCACTATGACAGTGAATGACAACATGAGGAAATATGGCATTCCGCAGGATGTTCAGTGGAATGATATTGAGTATATGGACAGGCATCTGGACTTTACTGTTGACAATAACAACTGGGGAGGTCTGGGAGATTTTGTAAAGAAACTGCATGGCCAATATCATCAACATTACATTCCAATTGTGGTGAGTTGCACTAGTCTAAGTTAACCCCCTAATTTCAGCCATCTTCTAGGGTCGCAAACTCTCTCTTGGGACTTTGCGAGGCGACGGCTGAAATTCAGGCTACCTCTTAAGTATTTTTTACAAAAATCCTCATCTTTGTAGTAAAAGATATGTTGGCTTTGACTGCATCGTTGTTAAATGTCTTTTCTACTACAATTTCTTCCATCATTTTTTGTTGTTTAATTAAATAAAGTTAAAACAATTTTATGTTGTTAGACTGTTCCGTAACAAAAGAGCATATCTTAGGCAACAAAGACGTCTAGGCCTTGCATTCCTTTTCTTGCATTCTGTTTTTTCCTCAAACGAAGAAACCTAACAGCCTCCCGCTAATTTTATTTTGAACCGACTAAAGTAATACGTGATCCAAAATGGCGGCTCACAATGCTGCTCACTGGAGGATACTAGAATCTCTCACGGATTGGATTGACTTTGAAGGCCTAGAGACAGTCAGAGACCAAAAACTTTGTTTGTCATCTTTTTATTAGTGATAAAAAAGAGAGCAAGGACCTTTTGTGGAGATACCGTAAAATTCCGAAAATAAGCCCCTCCAAATATAAGCCCCCCAAACTGGTAACACAAAAAACCCTCCGTTCTGAATCGCCCCTCCAAATATAAGCCCCCCGGGGGCTTGTACTTGGAAAATGTTCCTCAAATACAAAGTAAAATAAAGCAAGACCGGTAAATTTACTTTGACTATAAGGCTAGCCCAATCGATTTTGAAACGCAGGTTTCCTTCCGTATATAAGCCCCTCCGAATATAAGCCCCTCCAAAAATAAGCCCCTCAAAAGGGGCCTTTGAAAAATATAAGCCCCGGGTCTTATTTTCGGAATTTTACGGTAAATTTTTGCTTCATTGTCAGTGAATTGACATCTATAGTTTCTTTTCTATCTCAGGATCCTGGTATAAGTTCCACTCAACCAAGGGGTTCTTATCCGCCATATGATGTTGGGCTTGAGATGGGCGTTTTCATTAATTCATCGACTGGAGAAACTTTCATTGGCCGGGTAATTATAAACTAAAACTGAAATATAATGTACTAATTTTAGCAGACTCCATTTATTTTGTTAACAGCTTTATTGGCCTAAATATATCTCAATAAATGATACAAATGAAAAAGAAAGAAAGAAAAAAAAAAGAGAGAGGGAGACAAGATGATTATTTCGCGGTAAATCACGGTCAATCAGAAAATCTTAAAATTGCTAGACAATTCTGGTAGGAACCGCGTAATTTAAAATAATTTCTGGGGGAAACCTGAGTCCAATTCCAACCTCATTCCCATAAAACATAGGTTCGCTAAGGTGTGTGGGAAAGCCCTTATAGCATACTCACTTTACTACTCGCCGTCCTATCGGCCTGGATAGTGAAACAGAATCCTTTCGTTTCATTACTACCAAAAGAGCAACAAGGCAGTACAACAGAGACCATTAATAGGGTAAAGAATACCATGAAAAAAATAATCAGCGTCTTTGGTTTTATTTGACACATATTTTGGAAATCTCCAGGTTTGAGGTCCCAATCTCCAGGTTCTTGGGGGCTTTTTTTCAAACACTCCAGATTTGCATCTTTTAGGGGTTGTAAGGTCTGGTAACAATTGAAACTTCCAGATACTTGAATAAACTTTGATATCAAAATTGTCGTCTTTTTATTCATCAAAAAACTTTCGTAGCTGGTGTCTTATCAATTAAAAAGATTCAAACAAAAAGCAAAGAAAAAGAAGGAAAGAAAATAAAAAAACCTTCGAAGTAATTTTGGGTTTTCTGTTCCGTCAATCATCTTAGCGTACCTCTTAGGGAACGAAATCAAAATGTCATGGTTTGTGATTTGTGATTAGTGGATTCTGTTTTGTTTGTTTCTGCGTTTCAAAGTTCGTTTAGGGTGTCGGTGATCGTCCTGTTTTGGGCAATAATCGACTGGTTTGCTTCGAAGATTTTTCTGATGTTTCTTATTCTTGTAACTTGCAAGAATAAAGCAATAGAGAGTTTAATCTTCACGTATACTGCAAACGTGAAACAGCAGTGATGACCACGTAGCCATTTTTCTCACCGTTGGTAACGCCTGCTTTTCGCAGTTTGCCATTTTTGCCTTGACGGAAAGTGTTTTCATGCTCGTTTGGAACGTTAGCAAAAAAGTATTCTTGTTGATGATCTTGATACATTAGCGCTCATCGCCGTTTAATGTCTGCAGCCAGACGTAAACGTGATGCTTAACCTCACTATTAAATATATGGACAAGAATTCCTCTCACCATGGCGAATTCCTTCGCTATTCTTGAGCAGTCTAGAGTCATTGCAGGCCAAGCTGGGCGAGCGCGTTGCATTGTGATTTGCGTTAATTCCACCCCCACTCAAATGATTGACGGAACAGAAAAACCCAAAATCCCTTTGAAGTTTGGAAAACGCGCAGCGCGATATAACGAATTTGGCTTTTAACTTGATGAACCACTTTTATCATTCAGCATTGCAATAAGCGATGTTCTTGCCCTCCATGAGTGCAATGGAGCGAACTTGTGCCAGGCTCTCGATCAGTGCAGAAGTGCGAAAAAAGTGGGCGAACCGCAACGACAAAGCGAGCCAGCGAAAAACAGCTGGAAGATTGTAGGGGAGAGCTTGTGAGCATCCTCTTAAAGAGTCAAAATTTGCACTATAGGAGGGTCCCGCACGCTTGCCGTGTTTGTTTGACTCTGCGCGCGCAAAGCCAAGTGGTTGACGTAAGTGACTACGTAAACGGTCGAAAGTGATCAATCATAGGGTATATACCAGGATCTTGTATACTGGAATGAGGTATTAAAAAGAATGCTAACAGGCTTCTCTTCTCCGTCTTCCCCAGTCCCCACGCGGTTTTGGTGCAACTTTTCTCGATCCGCTTTTCCTACTACTGTTTTGGGGCATAGAACAGGCTACAAAGTTACTGTAGCTTGCAGTAGTGGCTGCAAGCATCGCCACCGGATTTACACCTGATGTGTTAATTTTTCGAAATATGTATTTGTTCAATTGTTGACAAAGGTATGGCCAGGACTGACCGCATTCCCAGACTTCACTGACCCTGGGACACAAGCTTACTGGGAACAAATGCTTTCCAAGTTCAGAGAACTTGTTGAATTTGATGGTCTGTGGATTGATATGAACGAGCCTTCGAATGAACTGGATGGATCAACAAAGGGATGTCCTGCCAACTCGCCACTAGACCATCCACCGTATAAAACCCATGTCAGCGGAGATAACTTGTACTCAAGGACTCTGTGTATGTCAGCAAAACATCATAGCTACTCACATTATGATGTGCATAGCTTGTATGGACTCACGGAAATGGAGCAGACAATGAGGTAGAATATCACTAGCAATGCTAACATGATTTTTATACCTTGATCCCAGGGTTGTATGATTCATACTCAAAAGAAATCTAGACAGAGGCCACAACAATCCTTCTTAGGTGAAATCGTCCGATACAAGTTGCCGATTCCTGGAGTTACTCTTGTCTATTATTATGAGACCGCTTGTCTATATTTATGTATGGAACCGCCGACTTCCGCTCAATATGGTCACAGCCGTGAGGAAAACGCAGACGTTTTATGTTACCCTAGTGAAACCCGAGGGTAACACCGGGTAACACCTCCGAGAGGAGGCAGCGTGGCCAAGCGGCTAGACCGCTGCACTTGCAATTCGGAGGCCCCGAGTTCAAGTCCCGCTCTGACCGCTAGCTGGATTTGTTCTTGGTAGCCCTGAGTTCAAATCCACGGTAACGCTTGTAAATAGCCAGCTGGTTTGTCTCCGGCCAGTTGAATTCTTCACCCCGTTAAGTTTGATTTGAATTATTTGTTTCACTGGAACTCAAATCTCACTGCTTTTAAGCAGTAACATACTCAGTGAGTCAAAGGCGGAAGTGAGGAATAGGCATGGACTAATTTGAAACAGTTACCAATCATTTATTTCAGGGAGGTGTGGGGTCCCCGGCGTCTCCCACAGGTTAGGGAGTGGAGACGTGTGACATTTCAGACTATCCCCACAGATGAGGATGACAGGTCCCCTTCCTCATGATTCACGCAAAAGATAGTTAATTCATAAATAGTGACGATCAATGAATAACGCTCTCTAGTGAGTATCACTAGTGAGCTTTGTTTGTTTACTGCCGTTGTGTGATTTTTCCCTTACCTCTTTCAGCGCACTTAAAAAACTCATAGGAAAACGAAGTGTTGTGATATCTCGATCAACATTTCCTAGTGCTGGCCTGCATGGTGGACACTGGCTTGGTGATAATACCGCCACATTTAACGACCTGTATCTTTCAATACCAGGTGACTTAACATTATACAATTATAAGCATTTCTCTAATTTTAAATGATCGTTCATAAAACGATAGAAGAAGACCTTAAGCCTTCATGATAGTTTTTTTTTCGCTGATATTTAATTTTACGTTTTCTTATCGCAAAAATTACGAAACATTATCAGGAAAATAAGTAAGAAGGTATCTTCCCTTCAGTGATGCTTTTATGTTCTTCACGGTAGTAAAACACATTTTTATTACGATTGAGATCTGCAAGGCTAAAAAAAGTCAGGCGTTTATATTTGTTACCCAGCGTATGATTGATTACGTTACGAGATATATAGTAGATGATAGTGACAAATTTCCCTTGAGCGAAATCAGGCACTTTTTATAGTGCGTTGAAGTCTCTTGTTTGTGCACGGTAACTGCTTGCGTTATTTTAGCATAGTTGTTTATTTAATGTCTTGTCACATCCAATCATTAGGAATCTTGAATTTTAATCTGTTCGGCGTTCCTCTTGTTGGAGCGGACATCTGTGGATTTAACGGCAACACCAATAAAGAACTTTGTGCAAGGTGGACGCAGCTGGGTGCGTTTTACCCCTTTTCCAGAAACCACAATACAAAATCCGCAATGGTGAGTTCTCTTCATGTTACTTATAACACTAGAACATAAAATAAGCGGAAAAACTGGTTGAGCTTTAAAAACATACACTGACAAACAAAATAGAGAGCTTTAGAGTCGAAGACGAGGACGTCTGCGAGGGCAAGATTGAACTTAAAGTTTTTTCGCTTTTTTTCAAAAACACACACCGGAAAGCTTCATTTTACCTTTTTTCACCAAAGTTAGCAGAGTTATTTGTGTTGAGACAAGATAAGCCCTCTCCCGATCGGAAAATGATATGAAAAGTACTAACCGTTGATAACTTGTTGACATTCTAGCTAATGCTCTTAGTAGAATGTCAACGGCTATTACGTTTTCCCGCCAAAATGACGCTGGTTCACGCGCGCGCACTACTTAGTATGGAGAAATCTCGTACTCGTAGACATCCTCGTGTTAGAATCTAAAGTTCTCTAATAATTATTTATAATACTCATGTGTCCCGCTTTTTCTTTGTTTTCAGTCTCAGGACCCCGCGTCCTTTGGCGCGGATTTTGCTGGAATGGCACGTAATGTGCTGCTGACCCGCTACCTGTTGATACCATACCTGTACACTTTGTTTGCGCAGGCGCACACGCTAGGTAGCGCTGTGGCTCGTCCTTTGTTCTATGAGTAAGTACCTATTAATTGATTCGAATAATGAAATCTCTTTTGCGCTAAACCTTTTCCCCTCCTGTTGTCCTTTATTTTTCACGTTTCCTGAAGGTCGCTGTCAAAGTGATATGGGCATTCCGGCGTTTTGGGCATCCCCATTCCCAAAGCCTGAATTCAAATCGCTAAGGTAATGTGATAAGGGGATGCCCATATCACTAAGGTTTTGGGAATGGGGATGCCCAAAACGCGGGAATGCCCCTATCACTGTAACAGCGCAATGCCCTCCTCATGTAAAGCGTGATACTAGGCGTGTAAAAACTACTGTAAAAAGCCTATATACAAAAGAACTCCTTGTGTAACAAGGGTTAGAAAAACCTAACCTTTGGTGCTCCTTTTATCCTGTTCCCATTCAGTTATTTGCTGATTTGTCTGTTTGTTGTTCCAACCCCGTACCTAATGCCCTTCCCTTAGAACATGGAACGGCCTAAACCCCCCCCTCGCATCGTTTGATAAAAAAGCCTTGGAGACGAGGTTGTTATTATTTCAAATACTTTTCTTCATTCAAGGTTTCCTAAAGATCCAACTACGTACCCAGTTGACCGACAATTCCTTCTTGGTCCGGCATTACTCATAACCCCAGTATTAACACAGGTAAGTATACCAAGTCAGATTCTGTACGGTACAGCAGTACAGATAACGCAGGCTCACCGAAAGATCGTAGAATTTAAGCAAAGTTTTCTTGACTCGAAAACATTGACTGTCCGAGTTTATTAGAATTTTTACTTGAACTCTTACCTCGAGATCCAGTATGATACTCTAAACAATCTAACACTGTAATTTTCAAGGAGTTATAATAACTTCTCTAGTGGGGTTAATTTCACTTCTTAAAGTGGAGTTATTTTTTTGGGAGTTATTTCAACTCCAAAAGGGAGTTTAAAGAACTCTTTTCCCGGGGTAAAAATCACCCCAGATTTGGAGTTAATATTGAGGAGTTAAAATAACCCTCAAAAAGGAGTCATCTTGGACCTAAAGGTTTTACTCCATTTTTGGAGTTATAATATCTCCCTAAAAATTATTGTGAAAGGACGAAAACTTCAATCGTAGGGTTATCCTGGTGTAGTGCTAATCGGCTTTTCAGGAATCGGGTCTAGGTGGCTGAACTACTGACAAAAAGGGTGGCACCTATGCCTAGCATCATCTTTAAGCCGTTTGCATTTAGCTTTTGCTCAAGCTATATTTATCCCAACCACCCCCCACCCCGTTATCCCCGCTATCACTCCTCCATTCTCTTTGTCATCCAATTATTATTATTATTTGTTTACTTTCAAGGGAGCTACCTCAGTCACCGGTTACTTTCCGGATGCCACATGGTACGATGGATCCGATGGTTCTGTTCTCCAATCATCAGGAAATGGAGGTCAATATCACACGCTACAAGCTCCCTGGGATAAGATTCCCTACCACTTTAGAGGAGGATATGTCATACCGACTCAACAACCTGACATCACTACTTATCAAAGGTAACGTCAGCATTAGGCATGCAGGGACAAAGGATACGAAGACGGGACAAAAAACGCTGTGATCTTGATGTCCCGATATTTCTTTATGCGCGTAGTCCAGTTCTGGCCCCCCTATCTCTGTCACGCATCGCCGGGAGAGGGACGGTCAATATTGTGACGTCAGCGTTTTGATAAAAATCTTGAAAAAATAGACCTTTTTACCGATACAGCGGCCATATTGAAGTAATTCGATTTAAGGAGTATTATAGGATGCCCAGGGGGCATGAGCACATTTCGTTTGTATTTTCGAGCGCTTTTGGGGACATTTTTTCTTAAAGTTTTCTTAGAATAAGATTATAATGGGAAAAAAGATCCTTGTGCCGTGTTTGGATGCAATAATGATCGCCTTTTTCCCGAGAAATATACAGTTAAAGACCATATTTCTAATACTAAACTAGAAAAAGGCGATCACTATTACATTCAAACACGCACAAGGATCTTCTCTCTCATTACAATCTTATTCTAAGAAAACTTTAAGAAAAAATATCCCGAAAAGCGCTCAAAAATACAAACGAAATGCGCTCATGCCCCCCGGGCATCCTATAATACTCCTTAAATCGAATTAATTCAATATGACCGCCCTATCAGTAAAAAGGTCTATTGTCAGGCTAGAATCCAATATGTGTCATTTGCATTCATACAGTTTTAAAATACCGTAAAATTCCGCTCTATATGTTTTTGAGGGCTTAAATATTCGGAGGGGCGTATCTAAGGGAAATTCGCGTTTGAAAATCGTTCCGTTGAACCGTTTTGCTTTCTTTGTATTTGGACAAGCCCCGGGGGCTTACTTAACGGAGGGTTTTTTGCGTTACGAGTTTGGGGGCTTATTTTGGAGGGGCTTGTTGGTTTTTCGGAATTTTACGTCTTATATGGCCAACTGTGATGGGCTCCTGCTTTAGGACCATTCTGTCTTGTTGGGTTGATTTCAGCCGTCAAAATCCATTCCATCGTAGCTTTGTCATCGACTGATGAGGCCAGAGGAGGTTTATTTTATGACGACGGAGAATCGCTAGGTAAGCGTTGGCCTGCTTTGAAAAACTAAAAGAAAATATTCCTCCTTGCTTACTCTATACTGCTGTGCACTCTGAACTGTTAACAAAGACTTGATGTCTGAGGATGACCAATACTTCATGATCAAGGACCGTTAATTAAAAAAAATCATCGAAACATCCGCGTCCTCTATCGTCGCAATTCATTGATCGCATTTCTTGCGATACCCTCTTTTCCTCAAGCTACTTTCACTCGTATTCACTTAATCACGCCATTTTAAGCTTATAAACGTATCATCATAACGTTAGCGTTTACCCTTCCACATTTTAAAGATAGACCTCCGTTTTATGTCCGTTCACGTTCGAGAGTTCGAGAGTGTTACCTAATTTTTATGAGCAGCGTGGGCAGTTTTAGTGGCAGGAAAGGCTTGCAGTGATATCACTATTATTTATATAACTTTGCATGTTCTCTTCAAACCCGTTTGCAGACCCTATTATCAGTGCGCCGTACTTGTATGTTCACTACATTGTCACCAAGGTAAATAACAATATAAATCACTGTGCTTGTGCTATGTTAAAGCTAATTTTGTTAAAATTGTGAAAAATTTAACCATTGGCACTGGCTGGACGGTTTTTGTGGTTGCTGTTTTGATTTCTTTTGATTCTCTTTTTAGTATATTTTATCATCCCTTTCGTCAGTTGTTCGCTTCAGTCGCTTCTAATTTTTTTTCCTCTGCTTGCGTTTTTGTTAGAGGAAAAAGCGATCTTTAATAACCAAGAATCGAAAAAAAAGTATATGATACAAAAAACAGTAGCGTAAACAACAAGACTCTGCTTTTCGAAAGAGTAAAAAAGAGAGTAAAAATAGATAGATAAATGAAATAAAGTACAAAACTAAAAATACTACGAACTAAAACATCGTTAGTAGTTAGTCCCCTCTACTAACTATGATTAAAATAACTTTCTTTTGCTTTACAGGGATCTTTAAAAGGGCAAGTGGACTCTAAGAGTTCGTATGTACCACAGCAACCGCTGTCGGAAGTGCGCGTGTTTGGCGCTTCATCAAAACCTAGCTCTGTCACTGTGAATGGTGATCCAATACAAAGCTACACATTTAACCAATCGACTAAGGTAATCAGTGATGTTGATGAGTTACTCGTAAAGGCTAAATAAATACAAAATTTACATTGTTTTTGCAATACCAGCCCAGTTCCATCATTTAAAATCGCGTTTAAGAAAAAAGGATTTGTTTTTAGAGGTAGGATTGACTATAATTATGTAGTGTTCCTGAAACCAATTTTGGGTAAAATAATTATAGTTGGGCATTTTACTCTTTCTGAATTCATGTGTCCGTATTTTGACTTAAAAAAAATACCTATCTATTTGATTAGAATAGCAATTCAATACATAAATTTTGAGTCAATACATAAATTTTGAGATCGAATTTTTGCACCATGTAAGTTAGGTTTTTTAATCATTGTTGTAAATGTACTGTTTTTTAATATTTATATTACTTTTGTTTATTTTTTATTGTGTATTCTATAGTCTAGTTAGTGACCCAGCGCTCCTGTAGATAGCAGCGATGCTTTGTAAGCTCCCTGAAAAGACTACACTGAGAACTTACATGTATATTTTAGTATTGTTATTATTATTATTATTATTATTATTATTTTTTTAAATAAAGGTGTCTATCTAATACATGTACCTCAGCGATTTGATCAGTTAGGGTCCCGTTGTATTATAGAGCTGTATAAGCACTCGACCTTTGTAAGCTGTCTCTTTACATATCCAGTACGCTATCGACGTATGCTATCATATTTTTTTTTTCAGCTGACCAATGCATGAAGCATGAGCATTGTAATACGTAAAATTCTGTTACGTTAATCCAAGTTCTGAGTGACCCACTTCAATTCTTATCATTTGCTTTTTCCACAGGTTTTAACTATCGGCAATCTTACATTACCCATGGCCAAAGACTTTACTATCACTTGGTCCTAAGCGAGCGGGAGAGATGGAAGTCCACGGGAAATATCGTGCCTGATACACCCTACAGAAGCTATTAACAAACTCAATTGAAGAATGTCCCTAGCGTATAACTGAAACTTCTGGAGGAACATTTATGAGCACTAGTCACCTGATTTGATCTCTTGGAGGTCTTTAGCCTGCTCTGTTTTTTTATTTGCGCCCACCCCATTTTCTGAACGCCTGAGAGAGGCTATAAAAGATGTTCAACCTTTAGTTTTTTTACGAACTTGAAAAATTTCAGACATTGCGTTCTGTAATAAGAGATTTAACATTTTGCAGATTAACTGAGAATTATTATAACAGTCTGTAATTCATAGAAATGATCGCTTTATGTATTTTCACTTTTATTTTTTGTCACTCAATAGTGACTAGAATGTGGCAAGAAAGTCCAACAGCATCTAATTTATAAACGTTAGGTTTTGCTCCCGATTTAGGCCACGTCTCGACACCTCCGCACGAATCTGGGTGTTTTTGAAACCGCATATATTACACGGAAATAGTGAATCCGCTCACCGAAACCCCAACTTTTAGAAAACGGTCTCCAGACTGGTTTCTTTTGGATCCGACTTTGGTTGTGGCCTGCCAGGATTTGGATCCTCGAATCCAGACCTTCAGATAAGGGGCGAATTCATCCAGTCTCTGAGATAAGGGGGCCCAATCCCCAAAAACGTTTTTTCGGACTCAGTTTGTCTAAAATAAGGACCCCCAGGCCCCTCCCCTAGATCCGCCACTGCCTTAGTTCACTAGGTAGATTCAATCTATATGAACGATGGGCGAATTTTATTTGTAAGTCTCGTTATGAAATAACATATTTCATTGATTTCTTATTAACCATTCCCATCCCCCTCCCCCGGAGTGAACGATGGAGTACTGTCAATTAGCCTTTGTACAGACGTCTCTCTCCCCGATTTTGTTTTTTAGGACAGCGGGAGTCTGTAGACAGGCTACCTGTCAATTTGGCTCTAAGTTTTGAATCTATAGATGAAATCCTACGGCCTTTGAGACCATTCAAATGTAACATTAACCTGGTGTTTTTTATTAAGCTTGCCGTTCTAACTTTTGAGTCTATGGCTAATATCCCATGGTGAGAACATTCAAATGAAACCTCTTGGCAGTACTTTGGTTATATTGTACACAAAATGTGGTTTAAGATCTTAGAGAAGAAAATCACGGGACCTTGATGGAGGGTTCTTGATGTTATTCCTACCGTAATGATGTGAACGGAGCTAGTTGCATTTGGATATTAGAGTGATTTTACTTGACCCGTGAAACAGATGCTAACAACTAGTGAATGATAGCAACAGATAAACAAAAGAAGTCACTCAAGAGATTGGAAAGATTGGTAAAAAGAAAGGTGATTTTGGTAGGAATACTATTAGCTTCTCCTACGAATTGCTGCTCCGAAACCTTGGGAGATAATTTATTAAATGGTTCGATATTTATGATTTTCAGTAATATTCAAAATAGTAAAGAGGAGTTAGTAGTTCTCAGTGAGTACGTATTCCTTAGTTTCTTCTGTCAAATTACTGAAGTAGGTAAAGAATCTGTGATCTTGCATCGGCTGGGAAGTGAAATACATTAAATATTATTAAATGAATTGACAAGGTAGATTGCCGACCACCGTAGAACGGTGACGTGGCAAATGAAGAAGTAAAGACTAGTTAAATGTATTACATAAAAATTATTAAAAATTTGGGTTTAATTTCGTATTATTTAAAGAAATTATGCGGAACAGGAAGACTCTAAAGAACTGCTCACAAGTGCCAAGGCCATCCCTTTTTTTTTCTTTTAGCTTCGAATGCGTTTCCTGATATTGGATCGGTCGGTCGGATTGAAAAAAAAAACATAAACGAAAAACAAAAATCACAAGGAGTCTCGGAATAGGAGGCCCTGCATGGTACCTCAGGACGACGTTAAAACTTAACATTCACGTATTTGGATTAACAAAATACACAATACAACTGTAAAAAATGTTCCTGTTTTTCTCTATGCTGTTAATGACTATGCGCATTTTTCAGATTAAAAGAATTATTTCAAGTGAAAAATGGTTTAACTACGTCTTTACCTTTTTTTTTGAAAATGACAAAAATTTGGGTCGGTCAGACGACGCTAAACGGAGAAAAAAAAGAGGAATGGCCTAAAGGAAGGATTTACATTTTTTATTCCCAGACTAATTTTTCCCTTTACATGGTTCATTCCTCTCTGCTCATTTCCTACTTTGAAAAATTGTCGACGTGTATCTGAACTTTGCCTTTTGCCTTAAACGTGATTCTAAATCTTTCTAGTACGTATCCGGGAGTTTTTTATTTCCTTCACTGCAGGAATCTTCTCGCCTTTGTTCAGTCTCACTTCGTGAGCACAGAAAGCTAGGCTTAAGGTTGATTCATCAGTGTTTTTAAGAGCTTAGATACGTTGCTAACACTTGCATGCGTTGACCTATAACCTAGTTTCAGCGTAGATATAGGTCTCCAGCGTATTCTTAACTTTTCGCATGATTGGAGCATAATGAATTTTAACAATATGTCCTTAATTGAGCTTGTAGTGAAACAATATCAATCGTTTCTGTGATGAAATACAACTAATTGTTTGTAACATCTACAAAAAGAATGTAGCCAAAACACTTAAACACGACTCGAGCTTGTGATCTTGTTAAGAAGTTGCCAGACTGTTTAATGGCCTGTTATTTGTTAGACCCAATTTCACCTTCCGACGCCTTCCGGCGGATTAACTGTTCTTCAATATTGGAGGTCTTAAATACAGCTTCTTTTATGCGGAAAATACCTTTATAATATGTGAACAAAACTAGCATAGATGGCAATTTAAGTTTTAAAATTGCAAAAGTCAGTGAAATTTTATCGCTTTTAAAGTAATAAAAATTCCTTCTCTAACAATAATGCGGAGCGTAAAGTGCAAAGTAACCATTTTTCTATATCATCGAACAGAGACTTTACCAGCCCGAACTTCTTGTCTGCGTCGGTCACTGCTTTGAAAAACAAGTTTCTTATAAAATATTGGGCGAAAACATTTAAATGACGTCTTGTTTTCATTGTTTACTATGTGAAAGTGTAGCACTATCACATGAGACAACAACCAAAGAGGAAGAGATCATGAACAGGTTGAAGTTAGAATTCTTTGTGACAGGGGCACTGAACATGATAAATACTTTGATTGAAATAGTCTATGATTTTTTCTCGGGATTCCGGCCCAAACTTGCCAATAAATGTGGTTTGACTACTTAAAGTTCGATCGGGCTTTGTCACGAAACAAATATACAGGAAGTTTTGAAAAAAAAATAAGCAAATTACCTTAATTGACGTCATCATTGTTTTAGTTGCTTGATTTAATTCCTTCTTCACCTGCTTCTGCTTAATGGTTACATGATGGGCGCAAAAAAGAAGTACTTGGTTTCCTTATTTCTCCATGTTTCTGTTGGTAAGTTAACGTTTTTATCTTAGCACTTTAATATCCCACCAAATCATTCAAACAAATAAGATTTGCCGGTGTTAAAGACAAGAGTAGTACAAATTTACCCTGTAAGCCGAGGAACTAGTCATTAATTGCACTCAGTGTATTGTCTACAGTTTTAGGCCTCTTGCGTTTGGTGCAAGCACAGTGTAGTAGCAGTGGCGTCATACTCTCTACCTCATCAGGAAGTTTTAACAGTCCAAACTATCCATCGAATTACCCAAATAGCAGAACTTGCAGGTGGATTATTGTTGTTCAAGAAGGCCACCGAGTACAGCTGACTTTCCAAACATTTGTGCTGGAAACGTGTGTGATACCCTCTGTTTGTACTTGTGACCACGTTGAGATAAGAGACGGTAGCGATGGAAGTTCTCCCAGCTTCGGAAGATTTTGCGGCAACAACAAGCCTTCACCAATCCATTCATCTGGGCGATCTTTATGGATAGAATTCGACAGTGATTTGACAACGAACGAGAAAGGATTTTCTGCAACCTACACCACAATCGGTAGGATTTTGTTGTTGTTATCACAGAGCTTTGAAGTACTAATACACATAGCTGACTGTTACGTTCTGATTCTTCTGTCAGCTTGAGAATAAAATCAGGAACAAAGTTTTCTCGTCTTCTTTTAAACTTATCGCTGTATTTCAAATCACTAATTTCGTAAATATGAGCACTCGGAATATTCTCGGGGACGGGAAGAACCCAGTTCAAAAAAGAAAATTTGAAAGTAGAATTATTGGTCGTTTGTCCCCTTCCTCGATAGGCTTTCGCTTTAGGAAATTCCACGTCGTCATTGTGTATAGAGAAAGGGCAACACAATGTATCCCTCTCTAATAGACCCAGTGGAATCTATATCTTCCGACTGGGTTCTAGGAGAAAACGTCACAGAGACTGGGTTGGCTTATTTTCCACTAGTTTTTTCTCTCTCTCAGGCTTAGTTGTTTATCTCCCATAAAAGCTACAAGGAGTGGCAGGTCTAATATCTTTACTGGTATGAAACCTTTGAAAACCTTTTACATATTGCACTAGCGAGAAGAACTAAAACATTTACACTTCTTTTTTTTTTATCTGAGATCGATTACCTGTACCCTACGATATTTTTGCTAGTGGTAATAATGTTTTATATTCGTTGAAACAACAATATACAGAAACTGAAAATGTTGATTCGGCTTCTTGCGAAGACATGTTAAATGTAAAGTTTCCTGAGATCAGCTACTCATATTCATTTGTCAGTAGTCGGATAAGGTTTGAGGGATTCGAACAAAATTTTCGAACTTTAAAACTAAATCGTTTTGCGTGTAGACTACTGAGTTGGCTATATTCTTATAATTTCCTGTAAGGCACTGTGTATTTATCAGTCGTGCTGTTGTCTTGTTACTTGGAATAACATAGATAATGAACCTGTAACTCTCCACTCCGCAGAGGATTGATTCCAAGATTCTACTCTTTGTCGTCGGGAGACTGGGGAGAGGGAATAAAGAAATGCGGGCGAGTAGAGTCGTCAGTCTACCTTATAAACCCGTTCCCATCATCCCGCGTGTGCTTATTTTGTTTTGTTTGATGTTTTTTCTTCAATTTTTTTGGAATCGCAGCAGGGACCTCCGCGGAGGAGAGGGAACCAGCAACAAAAACAATGCTGATTTTGTTCCTTTTTCTTTCCTACAGCTATGTCCACAACAGTCCCATCAACGACTTTTCCAGGTATGACGATTACCATGAAAATAAAATCAGACGTCAAACTCTTTAGATTTCAATAAATCTAAACAAAACGTAGTGATTTTAACATTTTGGAAACTAGGTACCAGTTCCACCAACATTTTTACTCAGTGTCGAAAGGGTTTTTATCTTCTGGCAAATCATTCCAGCCAACACAGCACAAAGCCGCAATACTAGAAATGGGTACCAATGAATGCTTTTATTTAAACTGATTTATTCTTAATTGTTTTTCATATTACTCTGTGTTCACCAAGCATAGCCCTGCCGTTCGATTGATTAACCACACAGAACCCACAATCACTTGATTCGCTTTGACGAGTTGTAGAAGGCACTAGTGTAATAACTGGTCCCAAGTGTAATGAAGGTCCCATCTGTATTAACATTTGGACCCAAGCGTAATATAGGTCCCATCTGTAATGACATTTTGACCCAAGTGTAATAGAGGTCTCATCTGTTATGACTGAGATAATATGAGACATGTCCACAACAGTCTACAGATGATGGGTCATGTGACTAAAGACTAAAGGGAACGAGAAAAAAATGAACGGGAAAAAATACCACAAAATGTAGCAATGGCTCTCGCTTTAAATAATTTTTGGCAGATTTATAACTGGCTATGAAACACGCTTTTAAAAAATTCATCGCTCCAGAACAAATAAATATGTCATTCGTGTTCGCTTGTATAAAATGTCAAGCTAAACAGTTTTCAAAGGTACAACATTTAGAACAGCTTCTCCGTAACCTGGATGTATAGGTTCCTTTAACAAGATAATCAATCACTCAGGAAACGTAAGTATTGGGCCAGTGATTATATAAGAAGCAAATAAACATGACAATAGATGGAAAAGAAGACCCCGGCTTGTCAAAGTTTCTTTCATTCCGGCATAGTGCTGTTGTAATTAAGATAACATAACCTAACCTTTTCCCTCGTTTTTGCCTTTATTAAGGAACGTCTACTACAGCTTCTCCAGGTAAGAAAATATAATTTATAATATGATTTATGAGAGTACGATTAATTTGTTTTGTACATATGCATATGAACTACTTAATGACAGAACTGAAAATTGGACTAATTGACAACAATTGTTTTGCTGTAGCCAGATATACGCGACAGTAGCTGGGCTAGTAATAAATGTATTTATCATGGGTTAGGTAACCTTTTCTCTGGGGTGTTACATGGTATGCTGTTCTATTGCTTCATTAGCGGTAGGATGATATATTTGAGTTGTTCTCATTTATATTCATTCGCGTCTTACCACCGTCCCTACGCCCTCAAAATTAAATACCCAGCGACCAGGGGTTTTTCTTAGACGTAGTTTTTTGCATGCTGCTATATGAAAGGTTTAGCACGTTTTGTATATGTTTACTGAATCATTGTTATACGAGCATAGTTTAGATCATTAATTTTGTAGGGTTGTTTTTCTTGCTGTAATTTTTTTACATTTCCGAGTTTTCATTCTGTTTGTTGTATTATTTCCATCCATTTTATTGATGAAGACATAATAAAGAGGGTCGCACACTGCTCGTGTTGACACACCCTAGTTGAGGTTGCTTGTTACATGATAAATGTTTTATATTCGTTTGAGCGGGGTAGCGAATTAGAATATAATGGCCGGTCCGTTTTTAGACTGTTTTTCAATCATTCCCTATGATCTATAGTTTGGTTAGTTAGGACCGCATATAAAATAAAAAATCAGTATCATTTTGAACAGAAAGCTAACTTTTTCCCTCTTCTTTCCTTAAGATACATTTGAACACATTCTCCAAGTAAGAAGATAGAATTACGTAACCTGCAATTTGTTCCTACGATACAGGCTCAATCTCTACCCAACAACAGGACTATAATTTAAAAGACCTTAAAAATGTTCATCAAAGTTTATTTATTTCCAGTGATTCTTGCGATGTAGAGGGTGGGAAGAACCTACATACACAACAAAAGAAAGCTAACCCTTTTTTACAAAGTTTTTTTACTTTGTAATACACCCTCAACAATTTCTCCTGGAATGAAAGCCTATGATGTGATTTGCTAAATTAAAGGCTTATAATCACTGTGCGGGAAATTGGTCAACTCTGTCATAGCGCCACTTCTCGTAAGCGACCAATTTGAAAATAACCATTCAGTTGTTGGACGGTAATACGATCTGCCAAGCGCTATTCAGTCAGTGTAGAACATGTTTATACGGTAAGTACGTTAATCACTGATAAATATTCTATCAGTTTGAGCTTTTTTCTTGATTTTCCTGTCGACGACCACCTCCCCCCACAGTATAAGCAACTGGAAGAAAACGCCAGAGAAAGGAAATTGCATTTTTAACAGGAAGTTAACTTTTATCCTTTCTTTCTTTCTTTCAACAATACCGGCGGGTATGTAGTGCATGTAGCTTGGAAGGTGGAAGACATGAACAACTGAGAATCTCCGTCTGCAACAGAAAGCTAACTTTCCCCACTTGTTCTCTTTAAGATACACTTACAACACGTTTTCAAAGTTTTTCCGCCTTTCTTTCAGCTGTTGCCCCGACGACCTCTAGAGTCCCACCTACGACTCCTTCAGGTATGAAGATAACAATGAAAATGAAAAGTTCTTAATTAAAACAGAATGCTTAGATTTGATTATATCAAAACGAGCTCAGTTTTTCTCAGACATTTCGGAAACTAGGTTTTTGAAGAGGATTCTAAAGACGATTGCATTTTTAGATTCCAGCCATCACACCAAAATTTGTGGTCGTGTTATCTCCGGATCCGTTCGGCCTACGCCAAGGCAACACGGAAAGCCACAAAAATCTCATTAGAACAAATATTTTTCTTAGCTACGGGCTAGTCGATTCTCTTAATCCTCACAAAATTAATGAAATCTTTTCATTCAACTAGTTTCATTGTAGCTGTTTTTTGGTATGATTATGTTTTCACTCACAGTATAGCTGCACCATTCGATATGTAAGCCACACACAACCCACCCTTGGAAGATTTTTGGAAATGATTTAAAGTTATCGCACGCAAATGTCCCAAAACAGCTACGCTAAAATTACCTGTTTTCTCAAATTTTCCCTAAATTTATTCGACTTGTCAAGTAGTCCTTGCCATTACAATGGTCTCGGTTGTTAGTCAAACATAAAAGAGTAAAGAAAGCTAACCTTTTCCCTCTTTTTTTCTTTAAGATACACCTACAACGTCAGCCTCTCCAGGTAAGGAAATAACATTTATATGACCTACGACTACAACCCTGGTCAAAACGTCTTGGGACACTTGAGAAAATTAGGCACAAAGACGCACTTTGCTAAATTAACTCACATTCTACCTCTTAAAAAAGCTTGGGATATTGTTAATTATAAGGGGCTATTTCTGCTGTCCCCGTCTCCCCCAAGCAGTGTTAATGTGTTGAATTAAAACTTGAATGCATAACGTCAAAACTGCACCGGGAAGGGGGGGCGGGGGAGGAGGGGGAGGGAAAGGGAAGATGCCTCAAATTGACGGGCTATTTCGTTTAACTTAGTGTCCCAAGAGGTTTGACCAGGGTTGTACATAGTAATAAAAGGGTTACTCAATGCACAAAGCTTCCGGATTAATTGACAATAAGTTTGATGCAGGGTGGCTAGGGGAAGGGGGTGTTAATACATCAAACATTTTCTGGATTTAAAGTTGCAAAACTCGTTAAGCTCATCACAATGAAAGTAGTCCATGATCCACAAGGTACTTGGGAGAACATTCAAAACAAACAATAACAACATCAATAACAACAACACATTTTGACACAAAAAACTTTTCAGTAACTTTTTGTCTTTTCTTATTTAAGAGAAACTAACAACAGCATCTCCAGGTAAGAAAAAGAATTTTACATGTTTTAAGATTTTGACGAACCGTTTTTAACCGAGAAAGCTAACTTTTTTCCCCCTCTTGATTTTCATTAAGATACAAGACCTAAAACAACCTTTCCCACAGGTAAGAAAAATACAAATATAATTACTATAAATATGACCTGTTAAACGCCCAATTTCAAGTAAACGCCTCTTATCTGATAAACGCCCCCTCTATGCTGCTAAAATTGTGTTAGATGTCCCTCTCTACTAAACTCCCCCAATCTGAATTAGTCTATAAAAAAAAACCTGGGAATTAGTAAAATTATTCAATTCTTTCATTTTCTTGCTTGGTTAAGAAGGCTTTGCGTATTTCATCTTGTTCATTTAAGGGTAATGATAGACTAACGATGGCAACACGATACCTCAGCGATAACCCTGAGCGAGGATTCTGACATCGATGTTGGGAATTGAAAGAGAGATTTGGATCTCTAGACGGCCTAGACGTATCAATTGATCGAGTTGATATTCCGCTATTTTCAAAATCTCTCAATATCATGTTCCGATTGTTATTAGTTTGGTTGAGTTCGTTACAGTTATGAGAGTATTAAACGCCGCTCTCTTTTAAATACCTCCTATCTATTAAACGCCCCCTCTTGGACCCCGAGCGCGCCGTTTATTAGGTCATTTACGGTGACACCTGGAGTAGGAAGGAGGAGTCTTTTTGTAGTAAAAGCACTCAAGTTATTAACCACTGCCAGAAAAATTGGACTGTTTACAACAAAGAAATCGATGGAGGAAAAATATATCCAAAAATAGCTGCACTAAAAAACCGTTTTTCAAAGAGGCAGTGACGGTAGTGGTTTTCTTTCTTCCTTCTCTCATAAATGCCTTTCATTTTAGTGCAAGCACAGTGCGACAAAGATGGCTTTATTCTCACTGGTTCATCAGGAAGTTTTTCAAGTCCAAACTACCCATCTAATTACCCAAACAGCAGAACGTGCAGGTGGATTATTGGTGTTCAACAGGGCCACCGAGTACAGCTGACTTTCCAGACATTTCTGCTAGAAACGTGTGTGACATCTGTTTGTACTTGTGACCACGTTGAGATAAGAGACGGCAGTGATGGAAGTTCTCCCAGCTTAGGAAGATTTTGTAGTGACAACAAGCCTTCGCCAATCCAATCATCTGGTCGATTTCTGTGGATAGAATTCGACAGTGATCTTACAACGAACGAGAAAGGATTTTCTGCAACCTACGTCGCTGTCGGTATGATAATTAATTTTCCCTAAAACAATGATTTTGATCTACACGATGAAATGCCGTGGAATGCCGATCGTATTAATGTGGTAGCGTCACGTTGTGATACTTAGTTTTACCTTACTTTGTAATGAAAGATAACTATACCACATTACATTCAATACAACGCTATACAACGATGGACTAAGAGACTATTCTATAACTGTTCTCATGTTCGGCTTGTCTCACTATCGAGGTGATAGAGTTTGGAAATGATTGGTATTTTGCCAGCCTAGTCCCTAGGCGTTCTCAGCTCTGTCAATCCTGGACTCTACCGTGAGCTGTGACGTCACCGAGAGATACTCGCCCGCTCTTTCCCAGACTTCGCTCGGACAACGCGGCAAGAGAGAACGCCTAGGGACTAGGTTGGTCTTTTGCCAGATCAGAAAAAAGTGTCATCTTAATATAGAGGAAGTTGTCACTATGGCGATTTTTTCTTGTACCCTGTTTATTTCCTCTTGAAGAATGGTACTGCCGGGCTTTGAGTAAAATTCCCTCCAGCTGGATTTCAAATGTACCGGACGTCCTTTGATTTGCTGAGTTCCGGCAGCCTTTTAGTCCATGCTATTATCAGAGTATAGTCTTGGGTTAGTAATAACTCGCTGAAACTAAGTTAAAAAGGTCTGATATTCCTTTCTGTTTCCCTCTTAGCTATACCAACAACCTTTCCTGCAACGAATCTTCCAGGTATCAAAGTTCATTGTTATTAAAACACAACTGAATTGACAAGCACGGAACGAGGTGTTTCAGTGACTGAAAAAATCACGAAAACAGAAATGTGACTTTATATCAGAAAACTAGAATTATGCTATAATAATTCCCCGTGACACACAAATTAAATTAGAGCATGCAATTGTGAAAGTCTGCAGTTTTAAATGTTGTAAATGTTGAGTGAAGTTCCCTCCAGCTGGATTTCAAATGTACCGGAAGTCCTTTGATTTTCTGCGTTCCGGCAGCCTTTTAGTCCATGCTATTATCAGGGTTATAGTCTTGGGTTAGTAATAACTCGCCGAAACTAAGTTTAAAAGGTCTGAAATTCCTTTCTGTTTCCCTTTTAGCTAAACCAACAACCTTTCCTGCAACGAATCTTCCAGGTATCAAAGTTCATTGTTATTAAAACACAACTGAATTGACAAGCACAGAACGGGGTGTTTCAGTGACTCAAAAAAAGAAATGTGACTTTACATAAGAAAACTAGAATTATGCTATAATAATTTCCCGTCACACACAAATTAAATTATAGCATGCAATTGTGAAAGTCTGCAGTTTTAAATGTTGTCTTATTTAATTTGTAAAGCCCTGACTATATTTCCTCCATGTGGTGGTGATTGTGAACTTTAAAGTCATATTGGCAATTTTGCCTACTTCGCATATTAATCTATTTCTTTATAAATCTCATTGTGTTTGTCCTAGTTTACTGCTATTTTGTACACTTTTTAATCGTAGCTAAAGTACAAGATTGACTACAAATGAGTATCTATAATTGAAGGCTGTCTCGGCCCATTATGGCGTGAACTGTGTTGTTTAGCTAGTATAGGTTATAGTTTGATGGATTCAGCATCCTCTCTTGCGTCTATGACTTCGATTATCTTCCTTACATTTAAAACATGGCTTGTGACTGGGGGGATGTTTGAAAAAAACCGGACTTTCTAATCCGGACACTACTACCGTTGTACTATATAAAATATATAAAGTACAACATTCAACATAACACTGTAAACAGGTTTAGGTAGGATTTAAGATGATAATTATCTTAGGAGTAAAGAAGTTGGAGAGTATTTTACCATGGAAGGACTTGAATAATGGATGTCAGTTAAGGGTTTTAGATAAGAGAGAAGACTCTTCCACACTTTTGCGGCTCAAGTAAAAACGTACATTCTGTAAAAGTCCCGCTCCTTTATAATTGTGAGTACGTTTTATCGTCCTAAAATCACAAGAAAAAGGAGCCCGCTAAGCAAAAACGACAGTGCCGGCTACAAAAACGTCACTTAAAGCGAATTCGCGCTGCTTCAAACTTTCCCGCTTATTCCATCTCGTTCAGTTCCCGAAATACTACCGAATTTTTTTGGAGTTTATTTCTGAATGACTGTATCGAAGTCCAAGAAAAGAAAAGAAAGTCGTTGGGCGCGATCCATTCAACCAAAATTTCCGAAAATTTCGGTCCAAAACTCAATGGATCGGCTCGGTCCAACCGGAAAAGTTTCGAAAAAACGGGTCCACCTTTTGAGGTGGTCCTCTTTTCTCGGTCGGATCGGTCTGAATTTTGGTTTAATGGATCGCGCCCGTTGTCTTAGGTTCACTTACTCCACAAAACGTGTGGCAATAGGCACTTTCATGTCGTAGCCGTGCAAAGACGGCAAAGCAATGTACAAAAATAGAGTGACGCACGCGCAAAGTTGTTGTTTTGCAAATCTAAACCTTTTGCTTTTTGCCGTTCTCGTTGCCGTCGCCGTCGTCGTTGCCTAAGGTCTCTTTTAAAGTCAACTAATTTGCTTATTAGCGATGCTTTTCCTTGGCAGAGAGGATCGTTTGCTCAGATCCTAAACACCCAGCAAACTGCAGCAATTCGTTGACTCCCATCTGTTGTCATGATAACGGACCATCATGCTGTCGTACAGGCGGCAGTCGATGTATTGATGGTGCAGCGACAAGAGATTATTGTCCAAGACCCTCAGATGACCCGAGCGAAGGAAAGTGCTGTCTTGATGATAACGGCGAACCATCGTGCTGTAAAGATAGGTATGTTATCGAGACCTGAGACCTTCTGATTGGTTGAAACAAAATTTAGACCAATCAAAAGCACTGCTTAGGTCAAGGAACAAATGCGCCATCAGTATGGAATATATTCTGCGCTTGTTTCTCAGACGTGATTTCGCGGGGAAACCAGTGGTGTGTCGCAAAATGCCGTCTTTTTTCTCAGGCTCTGTGCGGCTCTCTGTGGTTAATAAAGAATATTCAATGAATGATCATTTCAAAGGAAAAAGAGGTTGTCTTGAGTAAAATCATAATTACGATAAGTTATTATGATATAATTTAATTATGCAATGGACTATAAAATTTTATTCCATAGAACTGACTGCTGGCTTGGTTTTATTGGACTTAAGCATCTCAGTCCCTCCGCATGGTAGGTGAACTTTAATATAATAGCATTTTTCATTAACCCTTTTTAGACGGGGGAAGCGGCGGGGGTGGGGGAGGGGGGTAGGAGGCAAAGGGTTTGAGACCTGGTCTGATCATGACGTCATCCCTTTCTTGTAGCCTGACAACTCTTCCATTTAAACTTAACGGTAGAGATAAAACCAAAAGATATTAAATTAGCCTTCTTTCAAGTTCCAGATTTACTTACTTCACTTTGTAAGTGTCAAGAGCGCATGCGCCTTAAAATATACGCTGAAGGTATCTCTTTATTGGACCCAGACCTTTTCTCATTCGGTCCCAAGCCAATTCTTTCAGACATGTGGCAAGTATCCTGTTATTTTCAAAAGACACAGAAAAGGTCTTTGAAATGTGTCTCATTAATCTTGTTTTCGAAGATATCGATCTCCTCTGTATAGCTGGCATCATCATTATTGCAAAATAATCTCACACTATTCTTTTCTCTATGCATTTATAGTAACACCCGGATGGCTTTGTTGAATTGTAATGCAGTTATGTCATACAGTTCTTACGTAGTTCTTGCCCAACTGCACCCTCCTGATTTAAGCTTCCGTTTTACTTAAATCATTGCACACTATACACGCAATTGTAACTAGATTAGAAAGGCCTGTACGGTAATAACGATCAACGCAAAATATTCATGAATGTAAGGAACAATCGCTGTACAAGCAGAAAAACTGTGTATATTCTACCCCGATCATTTTCAAAGAATACATATTGAACAGAAAAAAACGCCACTGTAACACTGACTTGCTTTATTTTTTTATTTTTCCTCTCTACAGTATTGGTGCAACAGCAGGATTGGTGATTGGTGGAATAGTTGCGCTGCTTTTAGTCGGTTTTTGTTGTATCATGTTGATGATACATCCGGAGAAATGTTGTATGTTTATTTGTTGGCCTTGCATTGCATGCTGGGAGTGTTGCGTGAAGCCATTTATGGAATGCTTAGAAAGCGCTTGTGAGTGCTTTTGTAGTCCTTGTGAAATGTGCTGGGAGTATTGCATAGAGCCCGCAAAGAAATGCTTAGAAAGCGCTTGTGTGTTCTTTTGTATTCCTTGTGTTATGTGCTGGGAATGTTGCGAAAATCCAGTCAAGAAATGTAAAGGCTGTCGTAAATGTCGTGGCTGCCGTAGATGCGACTGTAGTGGATGGAATTGCTGTGAAAGTTGTGGTGACTGTGACTGTGGTGGTTGCAACTGTAGTGGATGGAATTGCTGTGAAAGTTGTGGTGACTGTGACTGTGGCGGATGCAACTGTAGTGGATGGAATTGCTGTGACAGTTGTGGTGACTGTGACTGTGGCGGATGCAACTGCTGTGACGACTGTGGTAATTGTTGTGGCGAATGTTGTAGCGAGTGTGGTAAAGGTTGTAGCGACTGTTTAAAATGTTGTTGCGAGTGCTGTGACTAGTGAAGCTGTGTTATGAAGGGAAGTTTTGGGGAACAAGGGAAAACCACCATTTACGTTAAAAGAACAAGTAGAACTGTAAGTTTGACAAAAAACGAGAGTACATTGATTTCTAACTATGAAAAAAAGATTCCATTCTTATAATAGGACATTTTCTGAGCTGCTTTAAGCCTCTGTTTCAAAGGGAGGCCAAGTGCGAATATTTTATTCTCATGCAAATAAACCTCATTTTCATAAGAACGGTTTTGCAGTTATCCCCGTTTTGACAGAGAGAGTTTTGGAACTCGGAAACGGCTTGTAACCTTATTACCAGACACCTATCAGGGTATGTTGCTGTTTCTCAACTGGTGTCTCGCAATAATTTGCAATGTACATGTCGTGTCAATTTTGTCGTCAAAAAGCAACTGGCGACTAGTTTGTAACATGTTTTTAATAACGCCTTTTTAAAATCCCCGTGCAAACGGATGCAACATTGTTGGGAGTTGTTGGCCAATAATGTTGCTTCTGTTTGCACTGGTTGCTGCAAATGAGTGGTGATAGCGTTATGGTTCCACCTTCATCAATTGACAGGAAAATTCTGTGTAAGATTACTATTTATGACAAAACGGCAGAAAATATGGAAATGACTGAAGTTTCTTGGCGCCACAGTTTAATCCGATGTACGGAAAAGCTCAACAAATAAAAAGCTTAGAACTAGCATGGATGACACCATTAAAAATCTTTCTAAACTAAAAAATGCGGTACGTTTTAAGGAGCGCATGCCATTTCCATAATTATCGTGTGACTCGTCCTAAAAAGCAGACTTACACAGAATAACTCTAGGAGCCGTTCGTAACATTTATGTCTCGATGTTTCATTTTTATCCTATCTTTAATTTACTTACTTTGTCAACCTCTCAGTTATTATACTTGAATTTATTCAGTATCGTATATAACCACTACAACCCTTTAGTTTTTGTAGTGTATAAAAGTTAACAGTTTTTTGTACTATGGTGACAGTGTACTCATGTTATTAACGCTTGCAAATAAACTACGTTTTATAAGGAACAGATGTTGATGGTTTGGAGTGTGTTGGCACTAAAACTAGACTCGCCGAAAGGCGACTTTGCTAATCAAACGGTCGATAACAGATTTTTTTAATTACCGCTATATGAGTCCGGGTGAAAGTGCTGATGACACGAACTTAAATTGTTTTTTGTTCAAGCGATTAATCTCGAAGCTCAATAATTGACTTTCATACAGTTAAAACCCTATACGTATTCAGAACACCTTCAGTAATATACGGGTTGTGTACATATCAGTGAGTTAAAGGGTGCGTTTTTATGGGAAAATCCAAATCCGAATGTCCAAATCCAATGGGCGAATCCGAAAACGGATCATGAATCCATAAAATCCACTCTCTGCATGGGTGGATTCTTCGAATCAAATCCAAATCCGGATTTTTGACATCCACAACCTGAGCGATTTTTGGGAACGGATTTGAAAAAAGTATTTTAGACAAGCGGTTTTCCGAGCGAAAATGAAACTTGTCGTCTATTTGCATTCGTAGACTGTTTTTAACCCTTACTTGTCATGTTTTTTGTAGGTAAGTAGTGTCTTCTTACGCCAGTGTATTTTCCAAGTAATTTAAAAAAAAAAGAATTCATCGGCTTACGTTTTAAATTCTGATAATTTTACTATCCTAAAGAGTCTATTCTATTCGAGAAACGTATGCGTTAAAAACCGAAATATACAGCTGTTTCGAGAAAGGTTGTCGGAAAAAGTGCACGCGACAATCCCGAAAGGTATTGTGGGTGGTTTTTAGTTCACTGTTTTTCAAATAAATTTCAAAGAATGGCACGAGAGGCCATGGACGTATGTTTGCGAGGGCTAAAAAAAGCAATAAAAGTAGGTTCGACAGCTACAGTGTCAAGAACAAGTGTATTGATCATATCTCATATTACCTTTTGGGAGTGTCGAGTGCACAGTTTTTGCGACAACCTTTCTCGAAATAGCTGTATACATTTCGTATATTCATACGTACCTTATGTTGAAAACTTGGTCACGAGGCACAAATTCACGTTTTGCGATTGTTCCGTTAACGTGACTCTACATGTCTAGCCCCTGTTTATTTCCCCTTGCGCAAACTTCCGGTTTGACCCATGATGACGTAAATGACGCTTTATTATTATTCCGAACTTTCACTAAGCAAAGCGACCTTTTAAGAACATGAAGGCTGTTTGGTAGCCACAGATTTGACTTTATTCAATTTTAAATTTCTTACCAGGTATCATGTACTATGGTCTTGTTTTTGCTCCGTGTGATCTGATTCTCTTGTACCTACTTTAATGATACACTTTAATAACCCTACTTAAAGTATCTACCGAGCGTTATGTTTAACTGGCCAAAGGTAATGTGGGCTCATGGTACGTGACTGATCAGCCACTCGAGCATGATTTTTGGCTCGTCTTTTGCATTGGAGACGTCTTTAACGCAATATGACGTTTTTTAAATTCCCAGAAGAGTAATACATTATTTGTAACTTGTCAAGTTTACCGGACAACGGATGAGCGTCATCGAAAACGATAAGAAGACAACTTCAACACCTTCTCCAAGGAAATGAAACGAGTTCAATTGTTGCAACTTTGTCCTCTCTTGGTTGGTTGTTATAAAATCGACAGCCGGGTAAAAGTTTTGAATCCAAGCTGTCCTTTAACAGTATGGTTATTTTTCATCCTTTTTTGGTTCTTTTGAGCATTTTCAGTGTTACACTGGCATATAGTAAGTATATACAGTAGTATTATACAGTTCAGAAATTCAACCTCATTTCAGTTCGTAAGAGAATATGTTCTTTAGCGTTAGTGTTTTATATTAATTTTACAGGATTGCCACCGGAGGCCCCTATAACTCAGAATAATTCTTTACACAATGATACATCACGGAATCTGGACGATCACAAGCTTCTCAATGTTACAGGACAGCCGCTAGAGTCCTATTTATTTGAGAACAACATTGCGCTGAAGAATGACACATCCTCGCATCTGGACCACAGCTCCCTAATGAGTACAAACGAAAACAGTAACGATGCTAACGCTCAAACAGGATCGAGCTCTAAAGGTAGTGATTTGCACAGGTAAGAAATGGCATGAAAAAACATCCCTTCAATCATATCCCTGTTCCTTGAGTAAATCTCGAAGTAAATGCATGCATCATGCATGTTTTTATAAAACACATTCGTAAACCCTTGTACAATTCCGATTAATATGCGGCATTATTTTATTCAAATTTGCGGTTCATCTCATACTTGTTATCTTGAGAGACTAAATTACATGTAATATTAAGCGAAATTTTTAATTTACACGCACTTGTGGGACCTATTTGACTGAATACCGTGTTTTGTAGCCTCTTTCTTGAAACCAGAAGTCTCTTGATTGTTCGGTGAAACCGAAACCTAAAAGCGTGACAAGAAGCAAAAAGAAATATACTGACAGGGTCAGTGACCCCATGGTAAACGAATTTATGAACAAAAGTGAAAGCTTGGAATAATTACTGTTAAAATAAGTAATTTCCGACTGGCTTCTGAGAAGAAAGTTTTAGTAGGAAGTCGATTATAAAACCAGGAGCATACGGAAACTGAAGATGATGACGATGGATTCTTGCCTTGGTTTTCTACGTTGAAATGCGCTCTTAAACGAGATGTCATAGTAAATTCAGTAATAAATATTAGTGTTCACGTACGGTACGCCGAACTAGAGATCGTTACGTCATTAATAATTATTGCTTGGCATTGGACTTGACCGGCACAATGACCAAGTGTCAAATCAAACACGTGAGATAGAAGATCTTACTAGCTTTTAACTCGCGAGATACTAAGTTATAACTTTTTAATATGTTTCTATCTTATTTCTTTAATGACTTATTCCTTGTTATATTGTGTTTCAAATCGTTACTATTTTTATTAGTATTATTATTCTAGATCTAGCTTAACATAAAAACTAGATGGTCACATTTGTAAGAGTCGATAGGAAGAGACTATAAAATTGAAAATTCTTGTGCTCTCAATTTTATTTATATTACAAACTTAAATTTTGCGCACGTACGAACGTAAAAATAACGCGACACTGGAAATCAAGCCAAACTTTCTTTTCATTGCGCTTGTAGACTAACTCGTTATGAGAACTGGGATCGTTTAAAAGAAAGATTTTTTACAACAGATTTTTTTTATCTAACCGATTTTGAAAGACCCTTTGTAACCCAAGGCTTACGAAGAACTTGTTTTTCAGCTTTTCCCTTTTTCAGTGGAAAACAGAGGTTATAAATTGATGTGTATTTCTTGACAGCAACGAGGCCAAAAGTGTGACCTCCTTTAATTAACTCGCATTCTTTCATGCAGACATTAACCAATCAGTAGTCGAGGACAGTTTCCAGCTGGCTTCTGACCTCCTTTAAAGAATTAATAAATCGCATTCTTTTGGGCATTTGCAGACATTAACCAAAATCATCATTCGAGGACATAAGGACCTTTCCAAAAGACGGCTTCTGATTAATTATTTCAACTTATCAAACGTATAATATATATAACTACAGTTCCTGTTTTAGCCACTTATTTTTATCAGGTAGGTATGTTAAAGAGATAGCATTTTTCAGTGTAAGGTATACAAAATGGGTATCTTTTCTGCCATGAATATTTAATATACTAAAAAAGTAAGAGGTTGGACCCTGGACGGAGCCTCTCCTAGAACTGTAGAAGGGCACATATAAAACAAAATGAAAACCAAAGAAAGGCATGAATAACGTTTAATATACATGTAATTATTCCTCGCTTGTGCTTTCTATTTAAAGGAAGAAACGAGTAAGACTGATTAAAACTTTGTCGAGCGTTCCGTAATAGCCGTTTCTTCAATCCCAAAACTCAGTTTTTTCCGCAATTCTGTTATCCGGACGATCCCTTCCCCGTAAACGCACCGACTCATTCCGCGTTCACAGGTTGGAGTATTTCCCTGGCCTCCGCAGCGATACAAAGAGGTTCTTGATTTTTGGAGAAAGTGCCAGTCACTGCACCGAATGATGAATATCTCACTTTGCCCTGCATTCCTTTCGCGAAGTTCAAATCCAAAACAGCTCCATCCAACGTCTCCGGAGGGAACTTCGATATGATGAAAATGGTGCTCGTAGGATGATAAAATTGAACCCCGTATGAGACAGATCTGGGTGTGGTCCAGGCTTTACTTGACCCCTTAAGGAGACAATAGGAAGTTTAAGCAAAGACGCTTTGAGCGACGCCCGTCAACCGGAAGTGAGGCCTTTTTCCATTTCGTAATTTACATTGCTAAGTGACCTTACGCTTATGAAGATGATTTGCCCAAACGTTTGGGCAAAACCACTGCCCAAGAATGCAAAAAGTCCACTTCCGGTTGATGCGCGTCGCTCAAAAAAAGTCCGTACGACGTGCTGTTCTTTTTTTCCTACATAGAAGTGTCTTTACCCACAACCCTGGACGACACTTGTATGGACAAAAATATCAGCTTTCCGCCTTTCCAACGGCCTAATTGAGCTAATTCGTAACAACATCTGTCATTTTTACCCCCATAAGAGATGACAGCCTTTCCCATCCCTTTGTATACGAGTCTCCCCACAGCTCCCACCCCAGGATCAAACCTCCGTGGAGAAGGAATGTAGTAATCAATACTCAAACGGTTCTATTTGCTTTCTTTCAGGAACATCAGTATTATAGTGGGAGTCCTATTAGCTGGCGTTGTCTTTGTGATTATATCCTGTTATCTGTACAAATATCATCCAAAGTTTTGCAGGGCATGTGGTCCTTGGCTAATGCTTTGCGAAGCCTGCGATAAACCAAGCAACGATATCAATAACATAGGAAGCAGTCAGCGTCCACGCAACGACTGTTGCAAGGGTGACTGCGGTTACCCTGGAAGCGTATGTGACTTACTTTGTTGTCTTGTTCCTGATAGTCAGGGTGACGATTCAGACTGCAAACCGAGCTGTGAATGTAATGATTGTGGGGGTGACTGTGGGGACTGTGATTGTGGAAGCTGTGATTGTGGAAGCTGTGACTGTGGCAGCTGTGACTGTGGTGATTGTGCTATTATGTGATGCAAAGACGGATTTGGTCCGAGTAGGATGTTGCGTTTTATCATCAATTGGTGAAGAAATATACAGTTAAACCTCAGAAACTAAAACCTTCACCTCTCTTCACAGGCTATACGTCATGGTGTTCGTCATCGTCATCATCATCATTTCATTAGACTGCTTGTAGTGCACCTTTTCCCTCAAAATTCGTCCAGTCCTCATCCCAGCCAGCGTTATTGCACAAAACGACGTTACAATACTCATTT